TATATATATATATAAACGAGAGATCCATTTACTCTAAGTAAATCTATCTAAACTTACTTCATTCAATAACTCATGTTCTACATCAAATGTTAACGATACAACCGTTAAATTTAAAGTTTTTAATGCATAAATCAAGTGTACAAATTTTTAAAAAATTTGAAAATCATTTCATTAATGGTTGGATAGTTGAAAATCATATATAAATGATTTCTAATTTTTTTAAAAAATTTGCAGACTTAATTTATATATGAAGAAATTTAAATTTAATGGCTGGATAGTTAAAATTTAATGTAGAAAATGAGTTATTAAATAGAATAAGTTTAGATAAATTTACTCGTAAGGTAAACAGATTCTTATATGATATATATATGTGGAGGGATCCCTTTATTCTAAGAGTAAGTATACCTAGATTTACTCCATTCAATAACTCATGTTCTACATCATATTTCAACGATCCAACCGTTGAATTTAAAGTTCTTAATACATAGATCAAATTTACAAATTTCTATAAAGTTTGAAAATCATTTGATACTTTGTTTCATTAATTCAAATCAATGTATAAAATAATTTTATGATTATCCGTCAATTTGAATTAATGAAATGAAGTATCAAATAATTTTCATTTTTTTTAAATTTACAAATTTGATCTATGCATTAAAAACTTTAAATTCAACTGTTGAATCGTTGAAATTTGATGTAGAACATGAGTTATTGAACAGAGTAAATCCATGAAAATTTACTCCTAGAGTAAACGGATCTCCTATATATATATATAGAGAGAGAAAAGGGTTATAATAATACCAGTATAACTTTTATTAAATATTATACCAATCAATAACTTTATATTAAATGTGAATTTTGTAAGTCCAACTGTTAAATTAGAAGTTCATATCATTTTATATGTTTATATCAATTTGTTACCGGGATCAACAGTGTATCCTTGTTGTCTCAGAAGTCTGAAGCATAGGGCAAATACATGTATGTGTTGTGCTGTACTAGGATTATTGTTGCCACTTTTGACATAGACGAACATAGATTCGAGAAGGTCATTGATTTCCTTTTGAAAGTGGTTAGCCAGGCCTAGTTTTTGGATCCAATCAACCAACTCTAATTTTCGCAGATCACCCACCTCTTGACCAAAAAGATCCTTTACATCAATCACCTGCTTCTTTAACTGCATAACATATTCTTCCTCCTGAATACAAATTTAATCATGCCACAAAGTCATCGATGTCATAGCAAGGTATATTTTCAATAATTAAACAAGAAAGAAATCTAAAATAGATATTACTAATAATTTTTTGTTTTATAATTACAAAAAAAAAAAGAGATTGAAAATATTATCCCATTAACAATATTATATTAATTAAGAGGTATATTAGATTAAGATTTGAAAACATTTTTTTTTATAAAAAAAGTCTTGTGACATATATTCAACTTATATAATTAGGATTTTTTTTATAGAGTATGTCAAAATATAATGATATTCAATTTTTTTATAGAGTATGTTGAAATATAATGATACCTCAATTGAGTTTTTTTTTTTTTTTTCCACTTATAAAAAGTGTATACCTTATAGGTCTATAGGTTACCTAATGGTTCGGTAAATTGAAACTCCATTGACAACTTAAACGGGAGATAGTTAAAAGGCTTATCATGATATCAAGGAACTCGGCTATCGCAACGCTAACACTCAAGTTTTGAAGTATTCGGTAATTGAGGATCTGATGTCCAAATAAATAGCTTAAGATTAAGAAAGGTTAATACATTTACTGATAGATTAATTAAGAGATAATCCATCTTTCAGAACCTATAACCTATTAGGTAACTGTGAACTAAAGTCAAAAAAAAAATGTCACTATAAATAAAGTGACGTGTGATGGAGATAAAGGTTATTGTTGATACATTTTTATTATACCTAAATCAAAATTAACTCGAGTCTCAAAGTACCTTTTATAGGTACCTTAATCCCAACAAGGTCCACATTTTAGAACCTATCAAGTAAGTAGTGTCAAAATACAAAGATAAATCGATCAATCGGTGGCGAACCTATCTTATATACGATGAGAGTTGTAAGTGTATCTCCTTAATTTAAAAAATTATTTATAAATCTAAATTTTTATATTTGTTCATAATTTGATGTATTTGAATTCACACTCTTAATTTTTATTAATTTATTATAGATAAATATTCTAAATTTTTAATATTTTATCTTTTACAACTTTATATATTTGAATTTGCTATATCCAATGTTCTTATTAACTTTGAGTTCAGGATCCAATGGTTGTGCTAACAACAGAGACGACTGTGGTCAAAAAATAGAGTGAGTAGTACCCCCGATTTAGTGTGCACGTGTAAAGTGAGAATGTACAAGATGATTTTATTTTACTATAAGAAATGTTACATATAGTAAAATACAAAAATATAAAAAATATTACTATAAATATGTAGTTATATATCTATATGACATATAGTTATACACAATTTTAGTGTTAATTTTGAATAAGATTTAACAATATATTTTGTGTGTCACTATAGTCTATACCTACACTTTTTAATAATATATCAACATATATTATAATTATTGTGTGAGTAAAAGTAATTTTTAGTGACATGTATAGTGTCATTATAAGGTGTGTGTCACTATATAACAAATTTTTTGTAGTGTTTATTTCTTTTATATTAATTATTTAATTCAATCAAATTATTTTTTACCTTCTCTCTCTTTCTTTTATCATCTCTTAAACTTGAGTTATAATCTAAAAAATAAAAACATAAAATACATTTAGATCATATTGCATTTCTCTCTTCTTCTTCTTCTTCTTCTTTTTTTTTTTTGGTATTTTTATTTACATTTCTTTCCTTTTATTCTTTCTATATATTTTTTCATTATTTAGTCAAACAGTTCACAAATACATTAGCTAAAAAAGAACTGAATGTTTGAATTACAATTACCTAAAAAGTAATAGCTATTATCCATGATTTTCATCTATTGAAATAAATCGAATAAGTAAATGAAAAAAAAAATATGGATAGGAGTATGAATATCTCACATCATATTTACTGGCAAGTGACTGCAGAAAGTCGTATTTCCAAATGTTGGGTTTATAATTTGCTGATCTTCGAATGTTGTCTTGTGTAATAACTTCTTGAGATGATACATTCTCGTTTGATTCATCCATTGTTTCTCTATGTTCTTCTAGCCAAGGCTCACTCCCTTTAATATATAATATAATACAGAAGAAAGAGTTAATTAATAAGCTTACTTTTGAGTTTTTCTAAAATTGTTTTTTTTAAAGAATTTAGGTTTACAAAATTAATTTTGAAGTGAAATGAATCATGTTTAAATGTGTTCATTTTTAAAATATTTTAGTAAAACAAATTATTTAATTCAAAGTTATTTCAAATTATTTCAATGATTAAATCATACTTTTGGTCTTTTATTTTATTTGTTAGATTCATTTTGATATTTGATATTTTGATTGTTAGATTCATTTTGATCTTTTATATTTTGAAATATTTATTTTAATTTTTATCTTTTAAATTTAGATCAATTTGATCATTTTAGAATAATGATTGTTTTTAATTTGGAGACATGATTTTAGATTATTTTTTGATTAATTTAAGACTTGAAATTCTTCTCATTGCTTATAATAATTGTTGAATGCATCTCAAGTTCAAATAAAAATGTATTATAGACATGGTAAAAATTGCATAAAAATAAATCTAAAAAGTAATTAAAATTTTAAAAATTATAATTTTGTACTATTTTCTAGTTGCTTATGAGATATATTTTAACATGAATTTCATCATGTTTATAATTTTTATGGATTTAAATGTCAACTGAATGTTATATTTTTTATATAATTTAATCTATTATTATAAATTTCACGTTTTGAATTAGTCAAAATTAATTTAAAATTGTTATAAAATTAAAAATATTATTATTTAAAAAAATAAATTAATCCAAATATAAAAGATAAAAAATTAAAATAAATATTTTAACGATTAAATAATCAACATGAATATAATAAATAAGATAAAAAATAAAAATTATAATTTAACTTATTTTAATTTAATATGGTTTTTAAATTTCACTTTTGATCTCTTATAACAATCGATCTATATCACATGACGTGACAAAGAAATTTGTGATCTGGAAAATGATTGAGGAAAAATAAAACTCATGTCTTGCATTTTTACAATACCACTTATAAACCACCAACCTAGTTATTTGCCTTGTTTGTGATATAATATAGGCACTATATTATATATGGGGTATAACATTACTGTACAAGTTAATCGCATCTTTAAAATAGTTATTTAATGTTAAATTCATTTAAAATAAAAATTAATAACTTTATATGATAAAATAAATTTTAATAAATTTTATTTTTATTTTAGATATATATTTTTTAGCAGACATAATTATATTGTATAATAAAATAATGTGAAAATATCATTAGTCTGTATTTTAACGTGATTTTTGACGGCTTAACATGAATTAAAACAAGTTTATATGTGGGTTTGGGGAATTGATTTTGTATCATTGTTATGTTATAGAATTAATTTTATATACAACATGATTTTTGTTTAATTAAAAGACGTGTTTTAATTAGTATACACTGCTGCGGGAGAAAGTTACACCGTCAACAAACCATAATGATATAACTTAGGCGGCGTTTTTAATTAGAATAAGTAGATTCTCATAAATATAAACATAGGAACATAATACTTTTATGGTTACTAGAAGGGTCAAAGTACTTCGTGCCTTTAATAATTATACATAGATAGAATATTAAAAGATTGTATGTAATTATTTAAAAATAATATATATATATATATTATTTTATTTTTATGTTTGAAGAGTATAATGATCTATTAAAAAGTGAAAATTAAAGATATAGATTAGAGTATTGAAAGAATATTCTTAAGTAAGGTTTATTTTTAGGAATGTTAGCATGTTTCATGCATGCATTTCTTATTCTCATAGTGAGGGCTGAAAAAATATTATTTTGATAGGAATATTAGAAAATACATCTTAACATACTTGTGCCTTTATTTTCTATTTTTTTTATAAAACATATTTTAGTTTCTTTTAAAATTATTGAAATTTGTTTTTAGTTTTTATTAAAATCCATTTATCCTATTTTAGTTCTTTAATTTTGAAAATATATCACTTTGAATTTTCAAAATGCGTGTTTAAAAAGTTATGTACTAATTTTACATTATATTATAATCATAAATCACTATATTTAACGTTTGTTGACTTTTACAATACATTAAAAGTATTTAAAAATTATTATAAAGTGCTATTTAAATTATTTTAAAGATCAAAAGTAGTGCGTTTTAAAATTAAAAAGTCTAGGATAAACATATTTAGAGGGACTAAAATCAAACTTGAGAAATTTTAGATGAATTAAAAATATATTTTACTCTATTTTTATTTAAATTTTTTAAAATATTCATCAAGAAATGTTAGAACATAATCATAACATGTTTTTTAAACATCTATAACAATCTATACTATATATATAAAGGAGATATTATTTTTTATGTTTCTACTTTTCTTAAGACTCATTAATCTTATAACTTATTTATTTATTTTCATTTTAAATATTTTATTTTTACCTCTATTTGTCATTTTAAATAAAAAAATCTCTTTTAGTAACTAATTACATATTATCTTCTCTAATAACAACCATAGTTGGATGATTGCCTGCTCTCACTAAATAAAATTATCATCATTATCTTTTTAATATCTTATGTTATTTTTATTTTTTAAAATAAATTTATAAAGACACAGTTATTTTTGAGACTATTATATTTCTCTTTTGTTATTTTGAGACTACTATATTTTCTATAATTATTTCAATCATTATTATATAACGTCTATACACTATATAATTATATTTCTTTGTTCTATATTGTAATACGTGTATTAAATTAGGTTCATTTTTTATATTCAAATAATATATATAGAGACACGATTCCACTAATTTATATATATCATAGAGGATGTTATAATATAATTTACTGTAATATTAATATTTACTAACTGATAAATTTAATAATCTGTTCTTCTCCTTTTAAAATATATATATATATATATATATATATATAAATATAAGGATTCATGTCAACCTTTTGAAAAAAGTTTATAACCATGTTGTATTATATTTTTTTTCCACCAATATATCATTTAAGAATGAAATAAGAAAAAATATGTATAAAAAAACAACATTTAAAAAAAAAAAATAACTACTCATTTCTTTTTTTCATGGAGACACTTTTTTTTAAAATATTTTTTTTATGAAAGCACAAACTACCTTATTGTCTACTAGTACTTTAAAATAATATTCCATTAAAATATTATTGAGAATTGCATTCCAAAAAATGCAATATGAATCCTTATAACAAACAAATGCAATATAATACCTTAAAACAAACGTTTCTTTAAGTTAATTATTATACATTAAAAAGTAATTGTTGTAAAAAAAAAACGTGATTTGTACAAGTCACCAACTATACCATTATTAATCTAATTATTATACATTAAAAGGTAGTTGTTGTATTGTTAAAAAAAGGTAATGTTTGTACAAGTCACCAATACTATTATTGATATAATTTTAGTTAAATTAATGTGTAAGTTCTTATAACTTATACTCCTTCCATTTTTTTTATGTTTAAGATTTATGCACAATAATTAAAAAAATATTGATATTTCAGTTTTTAAAAGCATTTATTATTTACTTTCCTTTTATATTCTTTAGGTTGTTGGAGAATAAATAAATACATTGAAAATAAGTAAATATATTGTTCAATAAAAATAAATTAATTATAAAAAGTAAAAAAAAAAAACAATAAATCATTAATTTTAAAAAAATGACGATAAAAATTGAAAAAAAAAATAGTGTGAAAATGTCTATGAAAAAAAATGGAGAGAGTACAAGTTTCTAATTAGGTCTTTATATTAAAAATATTTTTAAAAAATTCTTATAGTTTAAATATATTAGAGTTAAATCATTCACTCATTAAATCGTTACAATTTCATTAGTTTATGCTAAGGAAACATGTTAATTATCTTTTAATATGTTTTAGTTATCATTTTATTTTCATTTCTCACAAATATTTTTAGTTACATTTTTAATTTTAATATGTTAATCACACCAAAATTAAAGATTAATTTCACATTCAGATTTAATCTATATATCAGTTTTTAAATTTTTTGATATTTTTCAATTTATATCTTTTATAAAAAAATTATGAAAAAAATGAAAAACAAATTTTTGTATCTGCATAATTTCAATTTTAATTTAATCTTTTAATTTGTGCAATACACAAAATGAATGTCTATTAAATATAATTAATTTTTTAATAAATAAATGTTGTAAAATATATTAAATATATGGACATAGATATAAGAAAATAATCTCGTTTAATATAATTATACTAATTTATATGTAGAGATGATATCATATTAAAAATTAATTAATATTTTAGCCTATATACATTATTAATGTTTATTTTATAAAGTTATGGTTTATAATAAGTAAGAGGTTGAATGAATGATATAATTAGTGTAAGGACCCCCTTATGTGATTGTGTAAAACAACCCATTGTTGCGTACTGTGTGTTACATTACGTTGGGTGCTTATTAGAGAAGATGAGCCTAAAACTGAAAATGAAAAAATAGGAACTGATTCTAAATAATCGATCACTCAGCAATTTTGGTCTGAAAAAATGTGTAAGAAATAAAATAGTGATAATTAATTTCTATAATTTCTCTTTATTATTCACCTTCTGTTTCGAACTAGTATTCAGCTGCATCAAACCTTTTGTTTGAAACTCTCGAAAAAAGAGGTGGATTCAAGTTTTTTTTTTTTTTTTTTCTTGTCGAAGATATATTCAGTTGGAGATTAATCTTGTTCACAAAAGTTGTTATTTGATGAGCATTCGCACAGACAAAAATCAAACTTAGATTTTTCACTATAAAGATCGTCCTCACAACAATCAAAATTAGAATTTTCATTATAAAGATCATCCTCACAACTTGTGAGTCTATGATACCTAACCACCAAACCAACTCATTGAGTTAATAATATAATTTTAACATGTAAGTTTCTGGTGTGAACCAGCAGGTAAGATCACCATGAAAATACCAAAGATTAGAAATATGTGCTTAGATAAGCTTTTCTGTATAAACACTTTACAAAAGATAATAAAAAAAATAAATTAAAATTATTCATAAATCAAAATTAATTTACACATTAATTAAACAACGTATTTTAGAGAAGTTAATATAAAAATTTAATGTTATATATATACCTTAAATTACTCCATACACGAACAAAGATGTAGAAGGATAAGAGACGAGCATACCTAACACCTCTAAGTGGTTTGAATTGATCAGTTAAAACTTTTTCCCTTCTAAAGCAGCCTCATTCTTGGGGAGGATATATATTGCCAAACCAAATTTACGAACTTCTTAGGCAAGAGGAACGGTGAGCACACGTTGAGGATATTTTTCAGAAAATAAGCATAACTTGGCAAACTACCCAAATGACATTTTGAGGAAGATAGTAGCACAAAAATTAGTGAATGAGAAAATCAAGTTTAACGCATTCAATGACTTTAGATGTTAAACCAATCATACATTAATAGATATATATCAACATATATATCAACTTGTTTTTATTCGATGTGAAAGTATTTTTTGAAAATTTATCTATTAAAATAAGTATTTTTATTTTATTTTAATATACACATTGATTAACACTACAAGAAAAATAACAAATTTCTGATAGATATTTTTCGACGAATATGAATCTGTCAGAAAAATTTATTTTCTGATGGAAAAAAAATCTGTAGAAAAATTAATATTACCAACGGAATATTTTCGACAGATTTATATTTTTCGGAAATGTCAAAATTTCTGACTGAATTTTTCGACAAATATTAATTTGTCGGAAATTTCATGATTTTCGACTTGTCGGAAATTTCATGATTTTCGACAGAAGGTTTCCAACGAATTATTCCGTCAAAAATTGAATTCGTCAGAAATTTCATTCGTCGAAAATGTTTAGTATTAATTATATAGATAACATGATAATTAATATATTAAATCTAAATATTGTGTTTTTAGTTATAAATTTTAATTAATAATATTTTATTCTCTGGATAATTAAACTAACTATTAAGATATATTAGTAAAATGTTAATAAATCTTATTTTTTAGAAGAATTCTTAATAAATCTTATTCTATAGTTGTTTGGACATTTTAATAAATTAGTATTTTATAGTATGTAAAATACTGTATATATATATAATTAAAATTTATAATAAATTATATAGATAAATAAATACTTCATTCTAATATATAAATTATATTTTAAAATTATATAGATACATATTTTTAAACATATAAATTATATTTTATTTTTATGATAAGTAATTTATATTGTAGCACCAAATATTATATATATATATAATTAAAATTTATAATAAATTATATAGATAAATAAATACTTTGTTCAAATATATAAATTATATTTTAAAATTATATAGATTATATTTTTAAACATATAAATTATATTTTATTTTTATGATAAGTAATTTATATTGTAGCACAATTTTTTTAATTGATAAATATTTATTTGTTGAATAAAAATCTATAAAAATATTTTTGTATAAGATAACAGATGATATTTAATATAAATATTAAATTTAATATCTTAATTAGTCATCTTAATATTTTGTTTAGATATTTCACACACTTTGATGAGGTGAAATTTGTAATTACCTTATATTATATATATTGTTGGTAAATTTCAAACGTTCACACAATTAAATGATAATTAAGAGTTACTTCACAACTTTTGAATAACAATTTTGTTATTTTAATAAACAATTTCATTTTTACTTTTTTCCCGTCAAAATTATCTGTAAATTTTGTTACCAAATTAATTAATCATTGAAAATAAATAAAAAATAAAATAATTATCACACAACATACAATTAAAAATTAAGAAAGATAATTGTTCATCGTGTAATTCACTTTTATTATTGAATATATATCTATATATATATATATATATAATTAATTAATAAAGGAGATACTCATTTTTTTGAGTAAACAAATTTCAAAATAATTTAGCAATATAACTAACTTTAAATTAATTTATCTATTATTTATTTATTTTATCTCTTATTTTTTACTTGATCGTGATATTTAGTAGTATCTAAAATTTTCACATTTTAAATAACAACTTATCATCTTTTGTTCTTCTTTTAAAGAGAGATACCACGTGTCTCTTTTTCCTCTAGTTTTCATAAAAATAAATGTTTTTTTTTTATGAATATCATAAAAAATAGGATGAGAAAATGAATGGAAGATAAATAGTTAAATAGTTGTTTGATTATCTATAGTAATAGATAAAGGGAAATATACGTCTTCCCGTAACTTATTTTCATCTCCAAAATTATGGACAATTATACCCTTAATTCTTAAGAAAAAAATAAATATTTTTTTTAATTATTTTATTTTTAAAAATATTTAGAGACATGAAGTGTTTGTTTCCTCTTCCTTCTAGTATATATAATGGTCATAACCTAATTTAATATATATATATATATATTAAGTGATTTTATCTTTAATTTAAAAAAAATAAAAAATATTAAAAATTAAATATTTTTATAAATACTAGAGGGGCTGAGTCACTACATAGAAATCTATCTCTATTTCAAGTATGTATTTCTCCTTTCCTCTCTCTATTTCTTACATCGCATGTTAGAGCACCTCCAATTGGGGGTGCTTGTTGTGTAGCTTACTTACACTAGTGGAAAAAATACTTTTAAAATCGATTTTTTACTTTTAAAATCGGTTCTCTGACCGATTTTAAAAGAGCCAATTTTAAAAAGTGGGACTTTTAAAATTGGTCATGCCATGACCGATGTTAAAAGTGGTTAATTTTTTTTTAAAATATTTGACTTATTTTAGGAGGATCCCTGAACAAACCTGCAAATTAATAAAATACCAGACAATTCATATGTTTTTAATATACCAAATTACATACAAATGACAAGAGTTGGTAAATGTCAACCATATATATAATCAAAGTAACTTACAAATTATGATGCATCCTAAACTACAAAATGAGTAAAACTATAAACATATCTCATAGCTAGCCAATGTTTCAATGAAAAATGTAGCTCATTGCTCCCTAATGGTGTTTATATCTTCTAGCGACAATGGTGATCGATCTATAAATATCTGTTAAGAAAAATTAGAACAATTAGAAGTAACTCTTAAAACATGATAAAATGAAAACTTAAAATAAAAAATTTTAAAATTCTAAAACGTACTTCAGTCCACCCAGATATTATTTGTGAATCAACAATAGTATGCATTGCCTTCATTACATAGTATCCGCACTCATAGTTTCCTTTTTGCTTATGAGACTACAAAAAGAATATAAAAACCAATTTTAGTAGTAATGGTAATTCAAAAGAAAATACCTTAGAAAAAATATCATTACTAAAATAACTTACTTTAAGAGAGACCCAAAGCATTTTTTTCTTCAACTTTGAACCTTTAAGCATATGGTATCCTTCCATAGCCCTAATGATAAAAGGACATCATTATTATATTTTAAAATAAAATGTAATGATAAATAAAATAAAGTAGTTTTTTTTTAACAACTTACTTATCTAATAATTGTTTAAAGTCTACAGGAGGAGGTTTGTGCATCGAACAAATGCATACAGATATTTTTCTAAAACTGCTTGTAGTGCCTAAAACTTTAGTCTGGAATGGCCCTAGAACGACCCGTTCTGCAAGCAGAACGACTTGTACTGCTTGCAGAACGGGCCGCACTGCAAGCAGTTCTGGGGCCATTTCAGACTCAAAATTTGCCCAGCAACAACGAAATAAGAGACATGAGACGAGAATGTTACCTTGATGTTGTATTCTTCCGAGAAAATGAGAAGCTGTACACTTCAGATGAGAGCTTGAAAGAGTAAAAAGAAGAATATATGAACTATTGAAGCCAAAGAGTAGAGAATGGAGCTAGGGGGAGAATGGGAGCGGAGATAGTATAGATTAAGTCTCTGATGCTACTTTTAAAATCGGATGTACAATAACCGATTTTAAAAGTAGACTTTTAAAATCAGCTGTTCAAGAGCCGATTTTAAAACTAGACTTTTAAAATCAGCTGTTCAAGAGCCGATTTTAAAACTAGACTTTTAAAATCAGCTGTTCAAGAGCCGAATTTAAAAGTAGCGTCAGAGACTTTTAAAATCGGTCATAACGTAGCCGATTTTAAAAGTAATGCCATTATTTACAAAATTACCACCGCGTCACTTTTAAAATCGGCTACCTTATGACTAATTTTAAAACCCCGATTTTAAAAGTCATTTTTGTACTAGTGTTATAAGCAATGGTGCTTATAAGAAATCCCCATTGAACTCATCCTACGTGGCAAGTCAAGTTCTAAATTTTTTTAGAAACGTTACTTCTCCAAGCACCAGTGCTTAACAATCTGAAAAATGAAATGGAGAAGTATGATTGGTTGATTTAATCCAACGTGGAACCTGTACATAAAATTTGGAGAAAAAAATCTGATAAGGTGAATGAGGCTTATGCTGCCAAGGTTGGGGATCTTCTTGGGAAGGTTAAGGCGGTCGAGCTTGAGGTGGAGGGTTCAAGGACTCAAGTCCATTCGTATGAGGAGCGGATAAGACTTTGGAGGAGAAGTTGAAGGCTGTCGAGGAGAGGCACTAGAGCAACCAGGATCTCCTTTCCACCAATGCTAAGTAGATTGCCAATCTGAAGATGGACTCAAAGGTACTAAGTGCGGCAAAGAAGGATGTGGAAAAGGAGCTCATGGAGACCCAACACCTAATTGTGGTTGAGCTGAGGAGGGGTTTCTACAAAGCTGCTCGCCAAATGAACGTGGTTGCTCTCGAGGGTGATATCTCGGCTTTGGACATCAACAAGGACGTTCAAAATGGCAAGCTGATGAATGAAGATGACCTTTCTAATAGTACAAGTGAGGAGAACTTCTAGAGGCCTCTTTTTTTTTTGTATTGGTGTCTTTTTTGTATTTTCTTTGTCTGAATTGTATACTCTTTAGCCTTGTTAAATTTGTAACGAACACTTGCACTTATCTATATATTTTGAGTTTGTAAATGTTTTTGACTTGCGTAAGTTGTATGTTTTACTCGTTTTCAGTGCTAAGTGTAGAATCCATAGTAAAAACTTACTTGAATAATTTTAAGGAGAGTTTGGCTTCAGATTCGGCCAATAGTGATTGCGGGGTTCATGCTTGAACATCATGGTGTTTTGCATTTTTGTGATAGTTCTACACGTTTGGTTTTGAACTCGGCCTTTTGTATAAGTTGTTAGTTTTGACTTGTTCAAAAAATTGCATATATGGCTTTGAACGCGACCATTCAAGTTGACTTATTCAAAAAATTGCATATATCGCTTTGAACTTGGCCATGTAAGTTGGCTTGTTTTCAAAATTGCATATATGGCTTTGAACTCAGCTATGGCTTAAAACTCGACCAATTAAGTTGAATTGTTTGCAAAATTGCATATATGGCTTCGAACTCG